AAAATATGAATTATCAAGTGGAGTACATTTAAGTGTATATATATATATATATATATATATATAAAGAGAGAGAGTGAGAGAGAGAGTGAGGTTCCAATGATACCAAATATAAGTTTAAAAACTTACACAAAATTCTATATATTCAAAAAATTTGTATAACGTAACATAGGATTTTCTTTATTTTACAACAATGCAACTCTTCTTAAATAGAAGAGTTTGTTACAACTGAATGATAATGATAAAAAAAAGAAATTAAAAGTAATTTAAATACTCAAATTAATCTACTGTATTTATCTAATGATTTCCAAATAATAGGAGATCATAATAGAGATGGGTTGTTGCTTATGTGACACCTTTACTACCCCAACACATATATAATATAATTTTCGGGCCGTTCTGGTTTGAGAACAGGTCGTTCTGGATGTGAATTTTACACATGTTGTCAGAGTCCAGAACGGGTCGTTCCGGATTTGAAACGGGTCGTTCCGGCGATGCCTGATGCCTATAAATAAAGCGCTCTGACACTCCCAAAATCAGACTTTTCAGTTTTGACTTCTTTCTTCTACATTCTCTTCTTTTCCTTCTACACTCTCTAAAGATCGAGGGGCACTCAGAGGAGGAGACCAAGGAGATCTCTGTTTTCGTTTCAGCTACTGTTTATCCAGGTACGGGGGACAGGGAATTATTTGTATGTAGATTTACATGAGGGAATTGGGTAGAGGAAGAGTCCCTTAAGATTATGAGTAATTTTATAATTATTTCTGTTTGAGGAATTGTTGATCCCATTATATTTTACATGTATTGAGGATTAGAAATATGCTAATAATTTGTAAGAATGATGATCTGGGAGAGAAAACGAAATTGTAAAAAAGTGCCTATGAATTAGGTTTTGGAATAATTGGGGGTTTTACCGTTTATGTTAAGATTATATTGGTAATTCCATTAATTATTATATTAATTTATGAATGTTATTGTTATATTACTTGATAAGAATTAATGATCTAGATGTGAATTGCTTGAGGGGTGTGTAAACCCTTATTTTGTTGGACTTATCCGTTGTGTATATGTTATTGAGCTATAAGATGAGATGTGATGAATGTGAATATGATTATGATTGTGGTTCCTCACATCAATGACCAAGGATGGCATGGCTCCTGGGTAAGTGATGCTACAGGGAGGGCGTGACCCTGGCATGGTGTGGGATGAGTAAGACAATTAAAACGTATCACTTATGTCAAATATGGCAGCCTTGGCATAGGGTTAATTGCAAGATTTGTGTGGATTGTGATGTGATTGTGGTTCCTCACATCAAGACCAGGGATGGCACGAACCCTGGGTAAGTGATGCTACAGGGAGGGTGTGACCCTGGCATGGTGTGGGATGAGGGAGGCAATTAACCCGTATCACTTATGTCAGTTGTGGCGTGGCCTTGGCATGATGTTAATTGTAAGATTTGTGTGAATTATGAATGTGAAAATGATAATGTTAATTGCAAGATTGGAGATGAATGAGTGTAATTGTGAATTGAGATGTGAAGATGATGAATGATTGACAAATTATGATATATATATTATCAGAGTGGTGCAGCGGAAGCATAGTGGCCTAAGGTGAAAAGAGGAATAGAGGAATTTGTGTACTCATGTTTGGTATGCTAGAAGTCTTTAGGACTTTTGCAGCCTTTAGACGTCCCATTTTGGAAGTGAGATGGTGTGTAGATAAACCTTGGTTGTAGGCTTGCCTAAGATGATTACAAAATTTGATTCTTTTTGGGTTATAGTGGTTAGACTCACCAAGTTTACTTGCCTTACCCTCGTTGATAATAGATATTCCTTGGTGAGATTGTTAGAGTTGTACATGAGTAAGGTAGTGAGGTTGTAGGGGAATTAGAAAACAAGATGCGAGGAGCCTACCTATTTCTGTTTTCAGGTGAATTTCGGGGATGAAATTTCTAAAAGGAAAAGAGAATTGTAACAGCCCGATTTTCACAGATTGTTTGAGGGCCCAAAGGCCCAATAGCGGTGATTAGTAGCCTAGAACGGGCCGTTCCAAACTACTAAAACGAGAGTGATTTTGTAGCCTAGAACGGGTCGTTCCCAAAATGGAACGGGCCATTCCAAAATACAAAAATTGTCTACAAATTTTAGATGGGAACAAGGCGTTCCCAAATTGGAACGGGGCATTCCAAATCCCAAAAATGCCTATAACCCTAATTGAGAACGGGCCATTCCAGATATGGCCGTTGTGGGTTAAGTGCAACCCTAGAACGGGCCGTTCTGGTTTGAGAACAGGTCGTTCTGGATGTGAATTTTACACATGTTGTCAGAGTCCAGAACGGGTCGTTCCGGATTTGAAACGGGTCGTTCCGGCGATGCCTGATGCCTATAAATAAAGCGCTCTGACACTCCCAAAATCAGACTTTTCAGTTTTGACTTCTTTCTTCTACATTCTCTTCTTTTCCTTCTACACTCTCTAAAGATCGAGGGGCACTCAGAGGAGGAGACCAAGGAGATCTCTGTTTTCGTTTCAGCTACTGTTTATCCAGGTACGGGGGACAGGGAATTATTTGTATGTAGATTTACATGAGGGAATTGGGTAGAGGAAGAGTCCCTTAAGATTATGAGTAATTTTATAATTATTTCTGGCTTATCTAATAATCATAACTGAAATAGATTGTTGCTTATCTAATATGCCTCCTCAACATAAAGTCACCATCAGTAACTTTTATCTTGCTTGATAATTCCTAAAGTCAAGAAGCTGCCAATGGTTTGGTTAGAAGATCCACCAATTGATCTATGGTTAACACATGTGATACAATTAGCATGTTGACTTGAACTTGCTCTCGAACAAAGTGGTAGTCAAT